TTATTGTGTTTTTTACTATGTGCCAGCCACTGTGTTGAAATATATATACACATACACACACACACACACACACACACATATTTATAGATACAGTTATACCATGAAAAAAAGTAAGATAAATAAAAAAAAAGTAAAATAAATGATCTCCAAACTAGATGGGGGGAAAAAAAAGACCTGCTGAGTCTGAAATTTACAAAACCATACAGCCAGTAAGTGACAGAGCTTAAACTCAAAAATAGCTAACTACAAAGCCTTTGCTACTCATAAACAAACAAAACAATGCCCCCCAAAAATATATAAAAGCAATCTTTTCCAAGATTTTTATATTTTCTGTTTCTTCCTTAACACCAATAGCCTACTGCAGAATTTCTGCAAAGTTAGTACTGAGTGGGCTGCTTAAGAATCATTAAGCAAACTCTTTAAAAGGATATTTTTTAAACCCTCCAGATTCTGAGCCGCTGGGGTATCTCTGATGCATAGTTTTTTTTTTCAAATCATACTTCTAATCCCTTTGTTCTCTCATTCATTCATTTGTTCATTCAATAAAGGTATGAGTTCCTAATATGAAACAAGTCCTATAACTTCATCCCAAATCTCTTCTACATTTGATCCTTCTGCATTCCATTCTGGAAATACTCTTAAAAGCCCTACATTCAACATTCACTCCTCTACTTGAAGATTTTTATTCCCTATCGAGTACAACTCTTTTGCCATCAAAGCTTTACTGACATATAATACCTGGTACATAGTAGGTGCCCACTAAATGTTAGTTTCCTTTTACAATACATAATCTAAACTTACAGTATGTTATTACACATAGAATTCATATGAGAGGTGAGTGGTGTAACATATCACACTGAAAAGGCTGAACTATAAGCAGCAGCTGCTCCTCCCTTTCCAAACCATACATACATGCTTTTCCTTCCATTCACTTATCCAAATCCTTTAAAAAAATTACTCAAATTCAACATTCACTAACTCTTTCTTGACCATAATGATCACTTAACTAGAGTTGAGGGAATTGCTACTACTATAGAAAAGTATGTATCCTAATATTTGATTAATTTTAGTTTTCTACCATCATTTAATTTTTTAATGATTTTAATTTTTGTGCAATGAAAATTACTGAAGGCAGACTATGCTAGACATTTTCATTATAATTCCAAAACTGCCTGGCCTGCTACAATGTATATAGTAAGCCTTAATTTAACAATATTCCTTTTTTTAATACCTTTACAAGATATCCTCAAATTACTAACATTGCTCCCTGCCTTTATAACATCATAAATTAATTCCCTGACTGAAATCAAAAGTATCTACATGATTCAAAACTGCCAAAGGCTTATCCTCTAACAAGAAGTCAGAAGTCACTCTTACTTTATTTGCTACAATACCTTAGGCAAGTAGCTTAACTTCTCTACACCTAAATTTTCTTATCTAAGATATAAAATAGAAATAATACTTCTCAAGTTGATGTAAAAACAGTAATGAAATAATATAAAGCATTCAGCACAGTGTGTGGCATAACTCTTGCTACTAGCTATTATTATTCTCTGAGGAACAAAACCTAAAAAGTAAACTTTTCTAGAGATTAATAAGCAAGATATCAAATAATCTAGGAATTCACATATTCATAAAAAAATTAAGAAGGATTCTGTCAAATTCAAAAGGCTAAGATTATTTTTATAAGATCACTCTAATCAGAAATCAAAAGAATTTACCAACAAAAATAAAGCAATATGTATAGTTCTAAAAATGGGTTCAAGCATCCCCTTAGTGTAAAAGAATGAACACAGGGTCTAAATACAAACCAGATGCAAGAAGTACCTTCAACCACCTGTTAACTAGATGACACTACAGTAATTTAAATTCTGTAATTCTATTTTTTTCACTTGTAAAATGAAGCAAAAATGGAAGGTAAGATAAATAAAAAGCCTGGCTCCCAGGTTCTCCAATAGTGGACCTTTCCCCTCTAAGCTTAAAAACTGAAATGTGTTTAAAAATAGGGCTGGAAGATTCATTAGGTACAATATATACACAATCCAAAGTGAATATAGGTTTTTAACACAAAATTGGTGGACAAGAAAGATAACTGGACAGGAAAGGAGAAAGATTTTCGCTACAAAAGATATAGCTTCTCAATAAGACCATGTCTGTTACATCAAAAAGCATGAAAAACATATCTCATCAAGGAATAAGAATTTCTATGAATGCATTTGTTAACAAGATACAATGAATGTTTCTAACTATGAACATGGCTAGAAAACAGCATTATTATTAAACACTATGTATAGAACTCATGTAAGAAACATGAACTTCACATGCATTCACCCCACTCATTTCTACTGCTCTCAAACAAGATCATCCTTATTTGTACTAAATTATAAAATGTGGTCACAGGATAAATTAAATAAGCTCTTCATCCACAAACTCCAACAAAATACTTATGCTTACATTTGAAGACTGCTAAAAAGTTTAAGTCAACTACAGAAATCCTGTAATTCACTCTTCATCTGAATATATCTGAAACTGTATTAAGGCTTTATTAACTTCTGCTATTATAATCAATGGAAATAATTTGCCAATACAGTGTTTATCAGGGATAAAGACATAAAATGGAAAAGGAAATTCATAGTCCTAAACTCTATAACCAAGCTACAACATAATACAAGTACATAAAGAGTTCTCTTACTTGACTTGAATACTGGAGAAACTTGAGTGACAACAGGCAAAACAAAACAAGGTAAAAATTTTTGTGAGTGTTTAAAATTTTCTTTTCTGATGTTTTAAAAATTGCTTCTCTCACCACTGTAATTTAGTTTTTGTTTGGTGCTGGGGATTGAACCCAGGGCCTCACACATGCTAAATATGTACTCTACCACTGAGCTATACTCACAGCCCCTATAATTTAGTTTTTAAGCAATCAGTTCTATAATTGGGAACCTATGTGTCCAGATTTTATTCAGCAATGCTTTTCCAATACAGACCAAAAAAGTGCAAAGATTTGGTATTGATATGAAGGAAGTATTCTTTCTAAATACTTTCCAAAATGAGTATTATCTTTCATGACTTGAGCCTACGTGTTATTTTATGCTGAATTTTGATGGAGGATCCCTAATTTAAAGTTTTGAAAGTTTCACGTTTTCTAACCAAGTTTAATATGAATAGATGGCCATGTTTTTGGCCACTGTTAGCCTAAATTATTCAAAGAAATGAAATGACCAATCTGACTTACGTTAATTTTTCACTTAGATTAAGTGGATAAATGTAAATATACCTGAGAGATTCATGTATTCTCTAAAGCATAGAAGAATACACAAACTACAGTTGCATAGATTGCATGTAGGGACCAGACTATTTTGGAATGTAAAACTCTAATGTCAGAGACATTTACCTCTGGTTCAATCTCTGGAACGTACCACCTCTATGTGCTAAGTAAAGCCAAAGGTGTGTGACTCCAGGAGCTTTTCATTTTTGGAAAAAAACAAAAAGTCCTTTGAGAACCAAAATAAATGAGACTCTTAAGAGGGAATTTCAGATTGTGACAGTTGGTAAAAAGTGAGGGCAGGAGACTCCTAATCAGTTTCATTCCTCTCTAATGATTGTCCACAACAATCTCTCCTTGTGACGTGAGAACAAAGTAGCAAAATAATAAAGTAGTAATGAGATATTAAAACAAAAATATCCAAGGTATAGACTGAACCCCTCTCCACATTCCTCATGGTCACTCAGTATGTGTTTTAAATCCAAGGCTGCCCTTTCAGAAAAGAGATAACTTACGGCAGTTATGATAGATAAAATATCTAATTGACTAAAAAATAAAACTCTTAAAAGGAAGAAAAAGAAGACAGGAAAAAAAGTAACATCCTACTTATGATGCTACCACTTTATCTATCAAGGTGATAATTACACCATATTTTTGGTAATCAGTGATTTTTAAAGCATTAATTATGTAGCAGTATTTATCACTTTAATACAACACATAGAAGTCCTACTCACACAGGTGAAATCTAATTTTTAAACTGACCCTAAAATAAAACTATTCAACAATTATACTAAGAAGGGAGAAATGAAGGGGGGGGGAGTATCTTTTCAGGGAAAAGATACTGTATGAAATGAAATTAACTTTAATAAAATGTTCACCAAAAAAAAAAAAAAAATTCCAAGGATAAACTACCTAGTGCTTTCCAAGAGAAAATAGCAAGAAGTCATTTGTTTCCCTCTGCCAGTGTACGATATTAGTAACTGCCACACCAACATAAAGTTATGAGAATGAAGATTAGAGAAATTTCACTTAGAGCGAATAGTGAGGGGAAAACCATCTTTTAATAAGGATAATACAGCAAGTAATAAAGGGGTGAGGGGAGTGGGAGATAGAATTGGCCAGGAGTGGAGTCGCAAAGAGGTGGTGGGTAGTCAAATGAAAGCCCCATTCTAGGTTCCCATTTGCAATTTCCTCCAGCCTTAAAAAATTCAGAGCACTTTGGGGATTAGAGATATAATCAACATAGGTCCAACTCACACAAACATCCCACTTCCAACTTTCTAACATAAAGATGTCATTCAACATTAAAAATATGGACAGTCTATTCTGAAGACAGTGCGTTCTCTCTAAATGTCTTCTAATATAAAAGGAACAACCACTCTAAAGCTATTCTTTATTAAACTAGACATCTACCAGAAAGAAAAATTTGAAAATTAAACACATTCCTTTATTCCTCTACACCTTCCTTCTGCCTTCAAGATACCGTGACTGAATGAATGTGTGCAACTTAATTTTACAGGGGGCTATCCCTTTCCTCCCAGTGACACACACGAAAATTTTTAAGTTCAAAATAAACTGATACCTAGCACATATAATTACCCTCTTTGCAACCTGATAAATTTTGAAAGTTCTAACAAGATGTAGTTCACGTTGGAAACCAAAAACTACCTTATAAGGCTATAAAAGACTGAAAGCAGGAAGCGGCTTTGACAAAACTAAGGAAGTTGCAGCGCGCTTGCTCACTAAGGGACTTTTTTGAAGCAAGAGAAGTAACGCATGACATCTTTCTCTCTCGAATTAAAATGTGACTTGATTCACCCGGTAAAATCGCAGTGGGAGATGGAATTGGCCGGGAGTGGAGTCGCAAAGAGGAGGTGGGTGGTCAAATGAAAGCCCCATTCTAGGTTCCCATTTTCAGAGTCCCGATTCTTCCCTTTCCCCACCCACACCCTGGGCAGAGTGTTGTCACAGCAATCTTGCAAAACCTACAAGAAGCGCTTCTCTTTTCTAGGTCCTCTGCCAGGCCAGTCTCCGCGCTCGGTCCCCTAAGTCCCCAAGCCCACAGGCAGGAAGGGGCGCGGAGGAAAAGGAAAGCCAGGTGGGCCGGGCCCGGCGACCACCACCAGGGCGAGTAACACCGGGAGGCAGCGGCCCCACCTCTCCACGCGCGGCGCAGCCCACCGCGGTGGGGGAAGGGCTGGGAGGGGAAGGGCTGGGAGGGGTAGCGCGAAGGAAGCCGCTCCCTGGGGGTCCTGGGCCCCGCGCGCCCCGCTCCAGCCGCACGAGGGTCAAGCCTGGACACCTGGGAGGCGCTGGCCCCCGCCCCACTCCTTGCAAGCCGTACCGCCGCACCATTCATCCCCAGGCCTCCTCCCGCCCCCGCCATTTTCCTTCCTCCGCCTCAGTTTCCCCACCCCAGCCCGTCAGCCCCCTTACCCCGTGCCACAGTCCACCACACAGGCCGGCAACCGTCCCGCCATCTTCCTCCTCGCCTGCTGCTGCCGCCGCCGCCGCCGCCGTCTGCTCCGTGCTGGTTGGGGCCAGGGACTGGCGGCAGGAGATGGGAGCTATCTGACCATCCACAGCCCGGCCGCCCTCTCTGTCCGGGGGGAGCTGGGAAGCTGAAGCAGTAGCAAGAAAGCAGCAGGCTGGGTCAGCGGCTACCACTTCCGCAACCCAGGCAGGCAGGCAGGCAGGCAGTCCCCGCCCTGCCCCGCCGCGGCCTCCTCCCCCCTCTCTCGCTTCCCTCCTCCTCACTCCTGCCCCCACCCTACAACTTCTTCCCCTCACGCCGCCTTTCCCCGGGAAGCCAAGATGGCCGCCGGTGCCGACGCCCCGGCCAGGCCAGGCCCAGGCCCCCAGCGCTCCCCCTTCCGGCTCCGAGCGGGAGGGGCGAGAGAGCATGCGCAGTGGGGTACAGCCGCCGGCCACCGCTCCCGTCCCGACGTTAGCAGAGTCCACTTCGAGTTTTCCAGGAGGGTTGAGGCGGAGAAGTCAGTCCGAGCTCCCAGTTCTCCTTCCGAGGCTGCAAAGGGGCTTTGGGGCTCAAGCCTTCGTCTTAGTTTCAGTTACTCTTGTGCTAGGTTGAGGAGGGAATGGAAACCTTACCCGCAGCCACGAATGTCTTCTCCAGAACAGCCTAATTGGAAACATAGTCAGCGGCATGTAACCATTCTTAGAACTTGAGTGTTTGCTTCTCTGTGTGCAGAAAGAGCCATATCAGAACGTGGGTGAGCAGTCGGGGAACAGATGAACAAAGGCTTTCGCCTTGGTCCTCGGCCTTTGTTCTGACGTTTTATTCAGTTACACTTTTTCCTTGTTACTTTAGGTTCTAGGCTTCACAAGAGGGTAGGGCAGGGCCGAACCCCCAGGAAAGGCAACCCTCTCCAAGTACCATGTAGTTTACACAAATAGACCTTTATTCAAGGTTTCTGGATAAAGACAAAGATTCCCCTCTGTAATAGTGAGAGTCTACAATTAGGATGATACCAGAGATTCGTGGTGGAAAAAAAGAAAAAAATTTTTTAAAGTTACACACTGGAAAGCCTAAAGCAATGGTTTTCAAACTAGTGCATCAAACTCCCCAGGAAGGCTTGTTAAGACACGTTGCTGGGCCACTTCCCCCAGAGTTTTGTAATTAGTCAGTCTGGAGTGGGGCCTGAGAATTTGCATTTCTAAGAGGCACATCAGTTCCCACTTTAGGAACATGGAAGATTAATATCTTACCACCAGGCTGTTCTTCTCATAAACCTTCCTGAGTTTGCCAATGTGAGAGTGAAATAAAAACACATTTTGTAAAAAATGTCTTTATTCAGTTCAGATAACATAATATGGTGTTAGGCTGACTGGGGGATGGAATGTAGGTATTTTTATTTATTCATTTAACACAGTATATTGTTCACCTGGTCTGTTAGAGCAGAGATTGTGCTAACCAGAAAAATGGCTAGGGTGTGAAATAGATAAGGTCTGTGTTCTCAGAGTTTACCTGTTAGACAAATTGTCTTAAGAACAACAGAGAACAGTGAAGAGACCTGTGCGAAATGGGAGCAAGGAGTTGGAGAGTGGAAGGGAGATATAAGATAGGACAAGCTGTTCTGACCAAGTGGCATTAAAAAGCTAAGGCCTAAATAATGGTAAGAGATAAGGGAAGGGTTGGGGAAGAAAGGGAGTGCCCCCACACACACACTCCCAGAGGACTTGAGGGAGAATAAGCTTGGCTTCCATAAATTGAAAGACCCAAGTGGTTAAGGTGAAGGAGCCAAGGAAGATGAAATAGAAAGTCAAGCCTGAGATATGAGAAAGAATCAAACAATGCAGGAATTTGTAGATGCTCTAAGCATTTTAAAGTTTATCCTAAAAGCAACTTGTAACCATCAGAACAGTTCAGGTAAGAAAATGTGTGGCTTCTTTGTTGAGAATAGATCCAGCAAAATCCAGAGTGAATCATACATTGTGTGTTCGGGATAGATATATGTGAAGGAGTCTCAGGGGCAACCATCCACATCAATTAGTGTCCAGAATAGCCACAGGTATTCACATCAAATAATCTTAAGACATTTTTCTGAAGTTTTCGTAAGAAAAGTCAAGCAGAACATTTCTATATTAATCATTGTTGGTTTCCCCCCTACATTTTAGAAGATACTAGACGGCAATTCTTTGCTGTCACTTCCATTATCAAGTAGTTAGGGGGTCATTAGGGGAAGTGTATATTTAGGAAAATTGGCTCTTACAGATTTGCATTTACAGATAGAGTAAATGGTTGTTTTCTGCAGTTACAAGTAGTTAAATCAGGAATGAAGGATTTTACCAAAGTGGTACCAGGGACTTGAATAGGTTAGAAACTTGAATAGGTCACTGGGAGCAGCCTACACTCCCCTTCAACAGTTATCTGGAAGTAGTTAAATTAAGGGTCAGAAACTTGAGTGCTTATAGGTCCATGTTAGTGATGAGTGAAGTGAGCCCTAAGAGGGGTATAGTGATGTTGACAAGCCATACCCTAACAGAAGGCTATTGCCTTTTGAGATTTTGGTTTTTGCCTCCCATCAAAAGGAATCTGAAATCTGTATTTCTGCTTTGGTAACTGCGATGGCTTAAATGTATCTCCCCAATGTTCATGTTAGATATTTAATCCCCTTGCAGCAGTGTTGGGAAATGGGGACTTTAAAGAGGTAATTAGACCATGAGGGCACTACCCTCATGAAAAGATTAATGCTATTATTTCAGGAGTGTGTTTCTTATAAAGATTGAGTTTGGCAGCTTCCTTCGCTTTATCACCCATAAGATGCCTTCCACTGTGTTATGACACAGCAAGAAATCCTGTACCAGATGCCAGCCACTTGATCTTGAAATTTCCATCCTCCAAAACAATGGTAAATAATTTGTTCTTTATAAATTACTCATTCTCTGGTATTATGTTAGAGCAGCACAAAACAGACTAAGACAGTAAATCATTCTTGTCTGCAGGATTTATTTGACCTGTGGGCTGTCATTTTGTAATTTTTAACTTTAGAGGCTATATATGGTTTAGTTGCATGTTGTCTTCAAAGACATGAGGAAACCTTTTATTACTGTTTCTTTCACATAGTCAAGCCTCTTCTGTGTTTGTGAAGACAGGATCTACTCAAAGCATTTGGAAGATTCCAACACTTGTTCCTCATACTCTGTCTACCCAAACACTTTTCTTGCTTAATATTCCTACTACTTCCTGTTCGCTGCATACCAAATTGGTCAGCCTCTGAGCTACTGTAATGGCCCAGTCTTCTTTAGCTGCACAGGACCTTCAGATATACATGTGACCAAAGCATTTCTGACCATTCTATTTGCATATGCACTCTTCTTGTTCTCTCCAAACATAGAAGAGGATGTCAGGGTTAAGTGTCTTAGAGGTTGTCTTGATAGAAGTGAAAAGGAAAGCAATGGTAGACTGAAGGAGATTGTTTAATTATTCTGCATTCATTGCTCCCTAGTAGTACCTCAATTTCCAGGTCAACTGGATGCTTGGTTCTTATCAGTTTTCAAGCCTGGTTTTCAACCTTTCAAGCATATGCAAGTCTTGCAAGATCCTTCCAATAAATATCCTTTGGTCAGTTCTCATTATTTGCATGAAATTTAAGAACTATAAATGATACAGAAGTCCAGAAAGTTTAAGTGATTTTCTTATTTCCTTAAAGTAACTGAGAAACGAACCCAGAACAGACACATAGTTATAATACAACAGCATTCTTTCATTTTGATAAATATATTAGTTACCAGTTACCCTAAGATTATTCTTATAATATTCTTAGATTATTCCTATGCCTTTAGTCAACTTAGCAAATTCTTTGGATCTTAAAAAATATCCAAGAAAATCATGTCACTCAATCTTCATTATTCTAAAATAAGAAATATTCTTTTTTTAAATTAAGTTATATTCTTACTACAAGGATGACTATTTGCAAGTTAGTAGATCAATAAAACCCCTGGAGTACATTGATGAAGAACAGACAAATTAACTAGTGAAGATATCCATACAGCCTAGTGTTCAGAAGGAGGGTATTATGGTGTAGATATGAAGTAACCAAAAAAAAAAAAAAAAAAAAAAAAACTCTTGTATTAATACAGGCAGTGAAATGATTCAATTATGAGAGCCATAACCTAGTTAGTCCCTCCTAGTTTGAATGGGTTGCTAACTGGGTGGTAACTACAGGCAGGTGGCATGTGGCTAGATATGTCACAGAAAGCATGCCCTGGAAGGTTTCATCTTCCTGGCAGCTCCTCACCCCTACCCCATCTGCTTGATCACCACCAAGAATGGAGCAGTGCCCATTGTCCACACTCTTTTTCCATGATGTTCTTCCTCACCTTAGGCACAGAACAATGGAGTTGGCCCACCATG